GGGGGGTGAAGCTAACGACAGTCGACAGTCGAAAACAGGTGACTGCCCCTACTGCGGTTAAAGGATTAAAGGCAGGTCAGTGTTGTTGAATCAGAAACATTGCGACTACACGAAGATGCAGATGGACAAGATAATTCGGTTTTAGTGCTATTTTGAAGTGTGTTGGATGATGACAGTGATCGAACAGTGGACTCATTTTGACGGTCGTTATCTCCTGTCTTATAAACGATAGTGAGAAAACATAGTGGTAATGTCTAGTGCATAAATAACAAGTCAAGTTGCAAGAAGTCCCCATAGCCTTGTCTGGGCTAGGCAATCAAGCGGTGTGCACAGTGGGTCTGGTCTGGTACTGGTATGCTAGAGTGAAGGAAAACTCCTTCAGTGGATATTACTGAAATACTGGTGAGTAAAACTAAGCGTTTGATGTCTCCTGCGGGGGGGCTTAGATAGTGCATCAAAAAGTTGCGATACGTGTCTTCTTGTATTTGTTTGTTTTACGGTCGCAATATCTATTTCGTAAACCATACCTCATCGATTTAGTTTTGATTGATGCGTCGTTTTTGAGATCCGCCCCACATACTACAACCAATTCGGAAACAATATTCAGTCAAACGATAATTGTAACTAAGTTTTACCATTTTTACGTAGCAGGGGTGTTGTCATCGTTTTTCTTTCTGATGTGTGTGTGTGTGTGGGGGGGGGGGGGGCGAGCGTGTGAGTTTGAAAGGTACCCCAAATGCTAGAGGCCTAACTAACTCGGTCGGGTTTTGTTTTGAATCTTCACGACCGGTTCAGCGCCCCAGACTTGCACCCTCCAGCGTCTAGCTACTTTCACGCCAAAGTTTCCACTCTTAGTTTCTTACGGAGACATGCTCTTCATAACATACGAATAGTTCTATTTGTTTGTAAGTACGAACAAGGTTCTTCATATTACGAAGAGCTCCGTTTGTAATACGAATAAGAGTGCACGTGCAGGCGTTCGTGCGTAAGTATGCTTACAGGGATGAGAGAGAGAGAGAGAGAGAGAGAGAGAGAGAGAGAGAGAGAGAGGGGGAGAGAGAGAAAGAAGCGAGGAGTTGCGAATGGATGTGGGAGCTCGTGGCGGTACATACGGACCTTACGACTTCGTTGAAACATACCCCCCACCCCCTCACCCCCCGCGCACACACAAGAACTGGCAATACGCAACGATCACACGAGCCTCACACACTAACACCCACACGCACGCACGCACACACACACACACACACACACACACACACACACACATGCACAGCGCTGCGTATCGTAGCATCAGGTCTGACATGCGTCATTCGCTCTGACGGGATTCAGACATAGAGTATTGGAACATTCCTTCAGAGGCCCGTTTCAGATTTTTTCCAGTTTGAAGCGTTGCACACTCACGTACACGTCATTTTTATTATATAGGCCTACGCACTACTGTTTATCGATTAAAAAAATTTAAAAAGTGGCACAAATTACGCGTGGTTTCGAACACTCTAGAAAACAGTCCTCATTCACAAAAGACCTGAATAATTGCTTTTCTTTCCAGAGGAGTGATAGAACACCTGTGTGCGAGTCGCTGTGTACTCAAACGGGTGTGGGTCCGAGCGACCCGGGACGCGTCCGAATGCGCCGGTCAGCGCGAGATTATGAAAGGTGCCATTCGGTTGCAGCATCTCTCTCGCTACGGTTCCGGACGCGTACCGTACCGCTCGACCCGCTCGCTTCACGGTACAAACAATGTCTCATTTTTGGAGGGAAAAGGGAAAACTTTGAGAAACTCTCCTGGTTTAAAGAAATCTCCTCAGATTGCAAGGAAGTCTCCTCGAAAACTGTGGGATTTTTCCTCATTTTTTGAGAAGATTCCTCAAAATCTGAGGCGAGATCGCGACGTGTGCCTGCAGAAGTGGCGGATCTGCGCCGGTCCGGCCAACACTGGCGGATCTGGGAAGGGACGGTCATCACAGGCGTATCTGCATTCAACCGAAAAGCAGATACGCCAGTGTTGCGCGCCTCTTCACAGATACGCCACTTCTGCAGGCACACGTCGATCGGAGGACCCCTCCTGAAACATGGGAGTTCCTCGAAGTTTTTCCTCTTTCCTCAAAAAATGAGACACTGTTTTTACCGTGTGGAGAGCACTGCTCCGCTCGCTCTGGGCGCGTGCAGCCCGGCGGGGTAGGCCGCGCGCGGGCAGCCGTGCTCGGCGGCTCTGCCTAACCCGCGACTCCCAGGCGTCCGCCGGCCAGACTGCGGCAGCTGAGGCAGCAGAAGACGTGACCGGGCGAGGGTGAACTAACAGTTCTCGGAGGAAAA